CTTCGGGGCACAATACTAGCGCTACAGAGGAACATCACCATGCTTGGTATGAAAGTTCGATCAGACCTGAATCCAAAGGACTACATCGAAACCGTGCCCAAAACAGCTTCACGCAAACTGAATACGGTGCGGCGTTTTTCACGCCTGAGCAACTGTGCTCGTTGTACAAGACGCTGAAGATGCGGGTGCGGTCATGCTGTGTATTGCTCGCACCTCTGGGTTGGTTCCGCGAAGTACTTATTCGATATAGGTTGAAGCGGCGCGCTGCCCGCAACATTGGATATAGATAGATATCATTGGATATCATGAGAGGTAACCAACAAACTCTACAATTACGCCGCGATGTGGCATCATTAAACGCATTCTACCGTCTATACCACGGCGAGTGTTCTGAGGAGTTATTCTCACTGATCCCTCCATCCCCTTTCCTTCACAGGACCACGCGCGCTGGCCTACGTTGTCACCGACATACTGTGGCCACAATTCCTACATGAACAAAGAAATTTGGTGACTCATTTATTTGTCGTACTATTTTCAAGTGAAATCCTTTGCACGTGTTCCTACCATCTGGGGTCCTTTATGAGAGGCGTGAAAAATCATTTCTGCAGACCGGCAAGGTGAGGATGGTTGGTGTGGCAGTTTATAACTGCTGAACCAGCTATCTTCGCGTCTGGACTTTATCACCACTTAACATCAGGTTGGGTAAAGTCATTTGCCTACCTAGCTATAAAAAAGTGACATTATGTACTAAGGCACGAAAGCCTAGTCCTTAACACCCCGACTTAGTGCTCCTAGGGGTATGCAGTGGCGGATTTACCTTAAGGCCCGGTAGGTCCGGGCCTAGGGCGGAACACATCGTGTCAAAAAAAATATGGCATAATGCGGGCGGGCTGCACTGCATGGTGCATTTTATATCGCATCCTTAAATACTTTTGTATGTTTTTTCGTTCGCTGCACGCGAGTCTTAAAAACAAACGTCTTCACGCTGCTGCGCCCCGGCGCCCCACCACTGTCCCTTATCCGCACTCGCTCGCATGTATAACAGTGTATTGTGCATGCCACAGCAACTGTAGAATCATTTTACTAATTTCGTATCGGTATTTGTGACGCGAGGTATATGTTCTAGAATAATAACAAAAATCGACAGCTTAAATGAATATTTTACACAGCGCTTTCCAAACATAGGCCATAAATAACAAAAATGACAAATATTGTTACCTCTACTTTAAGTAAATTGGGAATTGACATTTAAAACAGCCAAGGGCAATCCTATGACAACGCAGCTAACATGTCAGGCATACACAACGGCCTACAAGCTAAAAAAAAAGGAAATTTCTCCCCTTGCCGAGTATATTCCCTAATATGCAGCTGAAAACAGCCAAGAGGTATGTTAGTTCTTTTCTTTACTCCAAGAGCTGTACAATTTGTTGCAACGTCATTTCGCGCTGGGAACTCCTGCAAACCCATTTGACTATCAAAAGTTTATCAACGACTCTTTGGTCAGCTCGTGCAGACGCATGCAAAAATTTACGCGAATCTTGGAATGAAATCCATAAAGCGTTAGTCTCTATCGAAAATTATGCACAACAGAAGAGAGATTATATGCGCAGAAAAAGGTATTCGTTTGAAACTGGAATATTTTGAAACGGCCATCATGACTGTTTTTTGGGGATGTTTGTTGGATCGAGTGTGGAAATTTACATTACCGTTGTCATAGAATTCTATGAGGTACTAATATTGGCGAAAAACGTAATTTTGATGAGTTTGAGAACAACGCCAAAGAATTGTCCATTTCTTGTGAATATCAAAGATTTTAGACGCAATACAAAGCGTTAGCTGCTGCCTGGCGAGACATTACATGAAGAGATGCAAGAAACAAATAGTCGCGAAGATTTTAGAGTTAATTCTTTTTTGGTCATTATTGATAGATTATCAGCAGAATTAAAAAACGGCGAGATGCTTAAACGGTGTTTAACAATAAATTTTATTTCATTATTTATCTGACAAAATTAAGCGCGTCAGAAATCAAAGAAAAGGCCAAGGCATTTCGAACGGTTTATTCTACTGACGTAATAGACGATTTTACGGAAGAATGCCTCAATTTTCATTTTCACTATAAAAAATGAAGATCGGATCAGTGCTGTCAGTTTGTTGAAATGGTTACGAACTGAAGGTCTTAAGCATTTACCCAAACGTATTTGAGTCTGTGTACCTACTCCCGCCAGTAACTGTTCTGGAGAACGATCGTTTTCTTGATTATGACGAGTAAAAAATTATTTACGCACAACAATGACGGACCTAAGGTTAAACGATCTTGCTTTGCTTAACATAGAAGCCGATTTTTTAAGGAAATTGGATTGCGAAGATTTAATTAATGATTTGGCTGCACTTAAGTGCCGGCGAGTTTTGTTACACATTGTATAACCCTTGTTATATCTTATTTTGTACTGTTAACCTGTAGTTAAATAAATAAAACCAGAAAATGTTTAAATGTTTTATTTAAATGTGCAATTATTCCTGAAACGTTTTAAAATATTAGAAATTAGCGGCTATTATTATTTATTATAGTAAACTTATGGTTACTTTTACCCACACTACCCACCTGCACTTGCGATAACAAGTGGCTCCGTACAAATCAATTGTGTTTAATTAGATATTCAAATATTTAACTAGCAATTCCTTCGTGGCCGAGTGGTTTGTACGCCGGATTTCATGGTGTCGCCGACTCGAGAGGCCCCGGGTTCAAATCCCGGTGGGGGCAGATGTTTGTGTATTTCTATATAAACTAAATTACTTATATATGTACTGTATATGTATTCTATCCGTTACTCTACAGTTACAGTGCTTACTTTCGGGCTAGGCTAATGAGGGCTATCGCGTATGAATCCGCCGCTAGAGGCGCTAGTGTAGCGTGAGGTCTCCGAAATGTCAAATGTTATTGCTTGTTGGTTGACTACGTGGGTTTATATCTTATTAAAATAATGTTGTGAATAATTGGTAACAATTCGGCTTAATTATGGCAAATATGAGTTATGTGGCAATGAATGTCAGTTATTAAAAATTTGAGCTTAGAAAAATGATTATGTTCCCATTTTTTTCCGAATAAAACGGAACTGGGCGTCACTGTGGCATGGCCCTCTCGGGGGTTGATCGCTTCAGATGAAGCTTGTAAGGCCCTTTTGGCCATAAGCATGAATAAAGGGTGTTTTTTAGTCAGTAAGAGTCTGATATAACCTTACAGCCGGCTGTAGGGTATCCATGAGGATTTCTCACCCTCTCCCCCGCCTGGGAGGAAACAAAAAAAAAAAAACACTGTGGCATGGCCTATTATGTTTAGGATATGGTTCTTTTGTGTTAAAATACGATCTAAATGTAGCCTTTGATTTGATGTGCGTATTAATAAACTTTAAAAGTTACAATTTACAGGACCTCACTCAACAGTGGCGCCATCTGGTGAGACAGAAAACGGTAGCCCTCATTGGTGTGTGTGCGAAATATTTATATTTATTTATTTATATTATTTAATTAAGTGCTAAAAGTTGATAAAAATCGTGTAAAAGTTATAATAACCGCGTATGTCAAGTTGGCGGAGTATGTTAGAGCAAATAACTAACTACAATAAAACCCCTGTAAGAGGATTTCACAGGGACTCAACCAAAAACGCGTCTTTGGCCATGTTAAGCGGGAAAGCGTATTATGTGGGTTTGCGGGATAGGGTAATTTCGAATGTAGGTAATGAGGTATTAAATGTTAATAAATATATAAGAATTATGTATGTTGTGTGTCAAAAAGATTTTGAGGCATTAGCAATTATAAGATGTCCAACATAATTTAACTTTTGCAGTGCGTCGTCGCTTTGATTCAAAGAAGTTAAATAGTGTCTTATTAAATCATTAACTGTTTATAATGCCTGGGCGTGTGACAAAATCGGAGTTGACTCATCTTCTTCTTGATCATTATCACTTAGGGTCTCTTCTTGAGTTATTCATGTTCTTATTGAATTTTATGCTGCCGCAAGAAGTAATATGTGTGGTACGTGTTGGAGATTTAGGCGTATTAAACGGGATGTTGAATCGTATTAAGCGTAAGAAATGTATGAAAACATGTCTCAAGTTGTGGGACTGACGCAAAATGGCGTATTAAGCGTGATCGTATTAAACGGATGCTACTGTAGTTGTAACAACTGATGTACCAGATTCTTGCGAAATAAAAAAATAATCCTAAATTTCTAAATCCATTTAGATAAAAATTGGCAATATAGTAATTTCATTATTTAGTCTATATGGTAGATGCGGAGAAAGGGGCGGCTGATGGCTTGGGGCCTAGGGTGGCCGCGACTGCAAATCCGCCACTGGGGGTATGTGTTTGAGCTCCAGGGCAAGTATGTACCACTGGAATACGGTTTTTATAATTTATATTTCATATCGGTACGGATGTTGCTAAATACATAATGAACAAAAAATCGGACAGGTACTAATCTCTCTCTTTCTCGCACCCTTTTCTTTGTGAACAGTTTTTACAATGTTTACCTTTGTAAAAACTGTTTACAAAGACAAAAGTCGTTACTTTTGACTTGGTATTTGCTTTGGTGGCCGCACTTGCTGTAATCCGAGCTAATTGCGGTATAAATCGGTAGTCTGAAAGTAGACTACGATAGGCAGTGGTAGGCTACGTAGCATTTACAACCATAAGCCTGACACCTACAAATGCCTGAATTTTTCTTTAGAGTTATGAATCTAAAAATAGATTAACTACCTAGATGCTTGAGGACATGGTTGAGGAAACCACGAATGGCAACTTACAGGCGTCGATCCGCCTTGCAGAACACAGAACGGCTTTGAGTTTGCTGCCGGCTGGTGAAATGTGCTTTCCTGAAAGGCCCACGACCCTCAGCCATGAGGAAACGTCGAAGAATACCTAGATGCTCAGATTAAATAAAACATCCCTTTTTGATTTAAACTAAGCCTAGATGGAATAAAACGAAACGCATTTTTTTGTATAATTTATTGATCGCACAACATTAAAACACATACATAGACATAGAAATCAACCATCAATAAATGCATTTTTTGACATTAAATTATCCTGAAATTAGGTAAAGTACTTGTGTCTGAGAAATAAGCTCATTCAGTCAAAGTGAGATATAAGTCCTACCTATCTACTCTACGTTAACGCTATCACGGTTATAATATTTAACAGTGACGCTAATATCAATGACCAAATTAGGAATGTTAGTTATATAAATCTACGGCTGCTGTTGCTCAAACTTGACACAAATCCAGGAGACTACCTTAAACGAGAAGATGTATTTTGACACTCACGGCAGAATGTATTGAGTAGATGATGAGAACAAAATTGCAAAGAACTGCGTCAATACTTGAGTTGAATGAGAAATAAAATTGATATATTATGTAGGCCATTGATTACAAGTAAAATAATCTGTTTTATTACATTTGCTCTCAGTAATACATTGGAATTTTCGAACACTTAAGTGGTCCATTATAAATAGGTATCTACCGCTTTTTGTTTCAAGGTTGATAATTATATGTTGTACCCCAAACAAGCACCAATAGTTTACAAAATTAATATTATGAAATTGGAGGGTATAATTATTAAAAATATCGTATCCATAGGTCTGCTGATTATCTAATCATACTTTATAAACTACCTTAAATAATATAGGAAGGGTTTTTAATGATACTACTTTAAACAGCGTCAACACTGATACACTTATTTTTCTCAATATTGTAGACCGATGAAATATTCGTAGAATAATTGACAGACATTTATTGTTTAAGTAGGTAAGTTACAACATTCATAAATAATAGACATTAAGGCGCTATCCCACGACCTTTGTTGACGCGGACGAGGCCCCGTGTTGCCAAACATATGAGAACTCTAACGTTCGAGATTTAACAGTATCTATACATGATAGAAGGTAAATAGGTATCTCGTACACTTTGATATGAAATTTGAACAATGTTGACAGTTTGTTTCATGCACACAAACCAAAAATATTATCAGAAAATAAATAAATGTCCAGTCCACAAACAATCGTCTCGGTAAGTTCAGATTCATTATGCCATCATTAAATCCACCCTTATTCATACCATTGTTTCAGCACCACGTATCATGTATAGATACTGCTAAAGCTCGAACGTTAGAGTTCACATACGTTTGGCAACACTGCGCGGGGTGGACTCGCCCGCGACAACACAGATCCTGGGATAGCGCTTTTACGTAACTCTAAAATCTATTTAAGACTAGATTATTCTCATAGATATGTCAAATAAATACCTTATGTAATGTAATAAATTACCCTGATGTAGAAGACATGATAATATTATATGTAAGGACTTAGAAAAAGGTAGAAGTGTAGAGGGCTTGTTTAATTTTCTTATTACTAACAACATTTACCTACTTACTTTTTTATTTAAGTGAATTGTAAGTACCATTTAGATTGCAATAAATATGCAAACTATTCTTATAAGTATTGGTGATAGTAATCAGGTTTAACGTTAATAGTACAATATATTTATAGTAAATACTTAGCCACGATTTTCATAAACACATCAAGAGGAGTTACATAACTATAAATTTGGTATTGCTGGTTCTAATTCCTGTTACAATTACTCTCCAGCAACTCGATGCGCTTTTTCAGCGATTCCAGAGTATCAGCAATACTCTTTTGCGAGGTCTCTAATTTACCAAATCTTACATCATTCGAGTCTGTGACACGAAGTTCGATTGTCTCCACGTCAGCATTTCTACGACGTCGACTCAATTGCTCACCACCATCAGAGCAACTTTCACATTCCACCCAATATCTAAAATCCATGGTCGGCAAATCCTCACAAGAAATAAGACCATCTTGAGCATCAGGAAGCAAGAACACATTTTCGCCAATGGTATCAATATTATCGCCATTATCACATAATATACGAGCTAAACTAGTTTTCTTGATTTCGTTCAGCTGTTCTTGTTTGAATATGGTAGGATTTTCGTACCAAAATCTATCCCCCTCCCTTAGACGAGTGAACTGTTCCAATAAAATACATTTAAAAAGGGGTCCTACCTTACCGCCGTCAACCTGAGTTTCTAGTATTCCACCTACCCATACATCGATATTATGAACAGATCCATACAAACGTTCTAATTTATCACGAATTGTTTTGTCTGGGATTTCGTTTGCTAAATCATTGAAAGTTTCTACCTCAGTCATATTACAGAATTGTCTAAATTTTGTGTAAGGTGGTATACCGTGATCACGTCCTCGTTGAATATTAATAGCAGCCAAATCTAGAGCAACTGCATGAGCACTGTAAAAAAGCTTTTCGGTAAGTTCAGAATTAAGATTTTGAGTCGGCGTTTTCAATTTTGCAGGAGTCGTAAACATTCCTCTAATAAGAGGATCTACACCACCTTCATCTACGAGTCGCCACGGTGAAAAGAATGCATCGCGCAATAATAAGTGGCCTTGTGAAATCGTTTCAAAATTTTCATCATAACGATGTAGAACAGGATTAATCATAGAGTGCCCAAACCTTAAAGCAGCGGTAGCGAAAACATTAGAAATGGATGGATTTATGTTGGATTTGTATCCATTGTATGTTCCCAGTTGCTTAAAACCGTCCTGTCCAAGAATGAGCGGCAACCAATTCTCATAGGTAATGAATTGAATTTCGGCTCCAACTATTTTTCTAGCTTCCTGGTAAACTTTGTTGCCTTCCCATTGTGGGTTCAAGAATTTTAGTTGTGTTGCGATACGGTTATGTTCTCTCATCCAAATCGTATGCATTGCTGCTAAACCTATTTGCTCGTTAGCTCTAATGTCGCCAGCTACAAAGCAGCTACGTGTGCTTTCATCAAGATTTCGTCTGCAATCCATAGCATTTACGCCAGTTGTCGGTAAGAGAGGCTTTTTCCCTGGAAACGTTGCACCAACACGCAATAAACCATTATCATTAGTTAAATCACGTAAATCTTCAGCAACAGTTTGTTCAAAGCCATACACTTGTGATGCGTCTATAAATGACGTTAGTTGATTAATTTGCTCTCTAGGCTGTAGTTTACCAAATAAAACTGACGTAATACCGGATCCACAAACTGCGCTTGTTCTTATAAAATCGATACAGCGACGATTTGTTACTCGAGGATCATTCGGCGGCACATCAATTGGAAAACATGGAGCAGCGTAGTCACAAGTCTTTTTACAATCGACGCCATCCCATGTTTGTGAACTTACAGACGGAAGTGCATGATCCAAATCGTGATCCAGCCATTGACCCCACTGCATAACCATATGAGTCAGAACTTCATCTTGTGATATTTCAGTAGTACTAATTATTTCTGTAGATATTAATCGAGCTGGCGGAAGAGTAAATCCATTATATTCTTTATCCTTATTCCAACCAATAGGTTGGCTAAATCCGTTTTCATATACGGCAAAAAGAATTCTTCTAAAACCAGTTAACGAAGCTCCCCATGTTGGATGTTCAAAATTATTACAACTACCATCTATGCTGCGATATTTTCCATGGAAGCACATATCGGAACAGTCTCTTTTATCCCTATGGGCCACACAACCAGAAAGCCTCGCAATTATATCTAAATGTTGTCTAGATAACATACTCTCGTAATTGAAAGGCTCAGTAGATGATACTGAAAGACCACTTTGGATAAATCCTCTTACCTTATCAAGTGTTCTTTCATATATTTCAGCTGCACGAGCAACTTCTCTTTCTGGAGCATTAGGAAATCTTGTGATTCTATAAAGATCGTGTAAACCAACTTTACTACTTTTGTTATTAAATAAACTATCAACAGTCCGAGCTATTGCTTGATCCACATCTCTGGTTGCTTGTACTATAGCAATATTCACATATTCGTCACCCGGTAATTCGTGGTTTTTCACTGTCAAATATACAGACGCTGTGTCTCGGCCATAAATATTGAAAACTGTACATTCATAGCGACCTGTATCGGTCACTGTTAAGTTGTTGATTATTAAACTTCCGATCAAAGTTATCGAAATTCTGTCATTGTCTCCAATACGAGAGCCATCTTTGCTCCATTCTACTACAGCAGACGGTTCACTTTCAACTTCACATGGCATTTGAACAGACGTTCCTTTAAAAGCATCTGTATCCTCTGGTTTCATAATAATATGCGGTGGAATTACTTTGAATTCTGCAATCCGAAGTGTTGCGGAAATGGTGATGACTCCTTCTAAATTTTCAGCCTGACAGTTATACGTCCCTTCGTCTTTTTCTGACACTTCCAATAATGTTAAACTTTCATTATTCTGCCCCAAGACAATGTATTCGCTAAGGGTTAATTCAAAGTCATCTTTGAACCATGAAATCGTAGGTGTAGGTTTACCGCGTGCTTTACAAATGAATTCTACTTTATCACCATCGGAGGCCGTTACATCTTTCGGAACAGTAACAAAAGCGGGTGCAACTGTAACAAAAATTGTTAATAATGAGTACTTATGTACCTACATTAATAAAGAAAATGTTTTCATGAACATTATGTTTAGTCATAAATATAACAACTAAAAATATTACCAAATATTTGCAAACTAGCTGATGTCGTAATCTTTTCATTTATGTTTTCAGCTGCACATGTATAATTGCCCACATCATCCATTTGAACATTTTTTATTATTATTGTTCCGTTCTTTTTAATCGACATACGTTCATGGAGTACTAGTTTTTCGTCGTTGAAGAACCAGGTAATATGGGGCTTTGGCTCTCCTACAGCTATACAGTCGAAACTGACAAATGGTTCAGATAATTGTACAATCCTTTTGAGTGGTACTTGTGTGAACTGCAACTTGGCTGTAAACAATTGAGATTGTCAAATAAATTAAAATTTGTTTAATACAGTACCAAATTTTGGTTATAAGTTTCTATGTAAACCTCTTACCGTCTATAGTCCTTTTCTGGAGATGCATTCGTGCTGGCTGTGATCGAGCTTCGCCTATGGCGTTCTTTGCTATACATTCGAAGACACCTTCTGCAGTTTCATCTGCATCATGTACCATGAGAGTGCCATTGTCCATCACCTCGTAACGTGAATCGTCAGCTAATGGTAATGCTTTTGAATCGCGGAACCAGATGATTTCTGGTTTTGGGTCTCCCGTAGCGACGCAAGTAAACCCAACATTATCCCCGAAATACACAAGAGTATCTTTTGGTTCCAACTGTATTTCCGGATAATCTGTAAATATGAGAAGAAATAAAATTAAACCGATTTAATTTATGTTTCTAAGTAGTTACCTACTCATATGAGTAAAATAAATTTTATAAACTCAATCTTACGGCAATGAAAGTCATCGATTTTCATGGTCGACAGAGAGGAGCCCGTAGCGTTGGCAGGGCCATAACAGGTTGCAAGGATATCCATATTTTCATGTTCATGAATCATTTCTACAAACCATTTCATGGAGCAGTCGCATATGAGTGCATTACTGTCTAATCGCAATTTATGTAGTTTGGGCATGCCAGTAAAAGATCCTCGTGGAATTCTATTTAATCGGTTATTATGCAAGTACCTGAAATATGTTTTCTTGTTTTTATTAACTACAATTAATACTGTATCATACATTACATATTTCATTTAAAAGTATTATAAATAAGGCATATCATGCGCTATATGTAGGTATAAAAGCTAGATTGCATTCTATTTCAGTAAAACTAAGTAAAACATTTAGCATTTGAAAACTTTCAAAACATACAGTCGTTCCAATCGTGGCATATTTGTAAATGTTTGCGATTCTATTTGATGAATTTCATTGACGTGCAGGTACCTGGAAAAAACGAAATCCCACTAATGTTTGTTGATTTAATCATTTGGCAGATAAATCTGCCAGTAGACATTTCAAATAGATATGTACTACAGGAATTTATTTAACTGATGCAAGGTTTTAATTTGTATGAAAGATTCACTGAATAACATGTAAATTTTAAAGGAAAAAATCTCAATATCAAAATCAATTTACCGAACTGGCCCGTTCTGTAACTGGCCATCTAGGTGGAAAATTATGGATATCATCGGTTTTAATACGCTATGGATAGAATAGGAAGACTGGACCATGACCCACCACGCAGTGCCGATTGGTGGGTGATATTGCTAACGACAGCTGATTCAGCCAGCCCCCCTAGCATGAGCACCGCGATGTGATATATAACGCTTTTTTATCACGATCAATTGGCAAATTACTATAAAGTTTGACAGTTAGTCCCGATAAGAAACGTGGTATAATGTAAATTGTGGTGCTCATGCTACAGGAAAAGGACCAACAACTTAGTGTGGCTCCCGAAACACGGAGGAGCCCGAGATAATATTTTTTTAGTGATTCTAACATCTACGATCGCAAGCCATTGGGCTATCGAGTTGCATTTTTCCTATATTTGTCCTAATTATGTCGGTTTTGTGACTCCGCCAAGAGCTAAGACTCCGCTGCTCAGTCTATGTATTTATGTTTGCGTGGCGGCATATTATTATGTATGTATGTATAAATCTGTAAACTTACAGCTGCTCCAAATGTGGCAACCCATTAAATACATCGACGTCGATATGTTTGATTCGGTTTCGATATAAGTATAAATACTTCAGCCGGCGGAGACCAGTAAAGGCTCCGGAGCGCAACGCTCTGAGCTGGTTGTCGTTCAGAAGCAACGAGCGCAGTACACGTGACCTGCCGAACGTCAGTGGCTTGATTTCTGCTATCTTGTTGAACCGCAGGTCTCTGAAACGAAATTTCAAGATATTATTTTCTCTTAGTCATTTGGGCCTAGGAGTAAATGTGGGTAACAGAGCGCACCGCGCCTGTGCCCGCAAGTCCGGATCTAAGTACGGGGTTGTTAGATTTTCGTTGGTTCTGCGGCAACAGACTGAGGGTGATAAGCAACGATATTAAATACCCTAGATACACCACCACGAACAAAATCTTGCCCGAAACCTGTCCATAAGGTACATTGGACGATCCACGGAGCTCCATAAGATGATCGCGTATAGTCTAAACAATATAAGGCATTATTTAAACATTGAAAATCACCTTTAAAGCATACTGTATAAGGTATTAATTAAAACGCACGCGTCATAGAGTTTCGTCAGTCCGATATGTAAGCTCGTAAAATTTTACGACATTGCTATATGCAGAAGAATAAAGACCTTATTTCAACTTTCATTCTGACCAATTCTGAATGCTCTGTAAGTAATATAGTAGGTACGGTCCGCGAGGAAAAGAGATGGCTATATTATCGACCATGCATTTGAATATCACAAATATATTCTATTAAATCAGTTTCTAGTAAGTATTATAACAAAAACTTCAAATGCGTTAAATTAACAAACATTGATTAGGTACCTGTCGAAAAAAACACATTTTACATTCTTTATGTATTTCTTTTGCCTGTTTTCACAAAGTTCAGCGGCATGTTGACTTTTTAACGGTCCGCGCGTGACTGTGAATCAAGAAGTGCTTGAGTCGTGTTCAAGCACTTCTTGATTAGGACACATTTTGAGCGCACGTGGTGTATCTAGGGTATTTAATATCGTTGGTGAAAACATAATCGGTTTTTCATTGGTATAAGGTCTTTAGCTAAAAAATGTCATTTAAATTTATAACTCTAGCTCTTCAAATTACTGACCAATATAATTTTTAATTCGCACAGTTTTCCACGCGCTCACTTTTGTTATTGTGGAAGGCAATGCGTTTGATGTCTATGACATGTCGATGATATTGATGAAATGAAATAGGTAATGCTGATTTCAGCCGTTCTTGACAACATCTGATAGTTTGTATGTTTGTTACTCAATTATGTAAAAGCGGCTGCGGTTTTAGGTATAACTTGGTAAACATAATAGGTCCTGGATTGAGACATAGGAATCTTTAAAGAACTTTTTATCACAGAAAAAATGCAAAGTTCCTCTGGGATTCTCAAATATAATTAGTTTAAAATATTTATTTTATTTTCAAAAGAATATTTAAATCTGGAAAATTATAGCATGTGAGTTGTATCTAAAAATTGCAACATCTCAACCACCACATGGATGTGGAATGGTTGTTTTTAAATTATTTGAGTAATGTAACTGAGACAGCCTAAGATTTCAGCAGCTGCGATATTTTTGGCACACCCTTCAAATATAAGCCCAATAATATCAACTCCATTTGCTATTTGCTCTGCTGGTAGGCAATTAAAAAAAAAAACCTTTTTAAATAATAAAAAATTACGGTTTTTCCTAGGGATAGGTATTTGGAGATTTATACAGACAACGACCGTACCGATATATTAATTTATTGGAGAATAAAAAGCTTTTGTTTAAATATCTTGTTGAATGTTGAAGTTATACTTCTTTAGGCGCGTTATTACTATTTAGTGGGTGCTAACGACTGCATTGTGAAGGCCTATCAAAAGTATTTATTAATCTGGAACAACGGAACCAAAGCGCGATTCAGGAGACTACAGCGCCATCTCTTGCCCATTGGTGTAGTAGAACCAAAAACCACATCTTTATTTTTCGTAATAAAGTAACAGTTATAGGTATTCATATTTATAATATTTATCCACATGTTTCTAGTTTGTATTTTCGGAATACGTGTTTGAGTTTCATACAAGTGCAAATCACATATGTTCTAATAAATTATATTCAGTAGCGATTTTAATTGAATATTTTGATTATTTATTTATTTTTTCAAATTAAAACTGAACTTTATTGACTGTATCCTTTTCCAGACTCTTTATTAATTTATTGTAATTAATTATTTGCATGCAATTAAAAACTAATTTTAAACGATGCCAAAGAAGGATAACTTCTCACGCGCCTACATAAGTACACGCACCCATTTTTTTTTATTTTTACTTTACAATTATGATGAGTTTGCTGCGGTCAGCGGTTGCGGTAATACGGTTATTAACCTGCTTTTTGACGTTTATACGTCAATGAAGACATATAAAAATTTATTCTTAATTTAAACGAACTAATTATTGTCCTTCATTATCACTTTAGTGACGAGCATTTAATCATAAAATTCATCGAATCGGTAATTTTAGGGTGTAAAATGAGGATCATTACTAGGTCAGCAAATCAACTCAAAATCAACAGTATAATGATTTAATATTCTTTTTTATACTTTTTAAATCATCGAAACGTATTTAATCACTTCCAATACTTTTCCACAATTCTTGTAAGGGTTTTCAAATTATATACCGTAAATAAATTTAGTAAATTACTGAGCGAGGTAGAGTAGAAACGGAGATTCTTAATAATATGACCAGCATTTGAATGAAGACATGCTTTCGTGAGTAAGTAGCTTCAATATCTTAAAGCGTTGGCGTCGTTAAATTAAAGCAGCTTTAGAATTAACTTCAGAGTTTGGCGAGCTGTCTGCACTATTGTATAGCTTCTAGCTAGCTACATGCAGAACCAGTTTATTCACATTCAAGTTGGTTTCGCCATGCGTCTGCGTTGTGTATTTGTGATTCATTACGTCAAAACCTCTATACAAAAATTCTTTGAAATATGTTTTAGGTTCAAAGGATTTGAGATAGGTCAGTAAGCCGCTCCTTGTTTCTTTAAATCCGAGATTATGGAAACTCCTCTTAGTTCCTGTTGCTTTGGTACGGCACTTATTTGAATGGTCGTCAAAAAAAAAATATAGTAATAGATCCTCCAAAACTACAATTAGTTACGTAACATAACCTTTAGGTGATCATTTTTTTTTTGAGAATCATTTAAATATTACGCCTTTGGTTCTTTTGTTATATTTAGTTTCCTAGGATTTGTTGTTTATATCAGTATACGTATGTAACGTATATTCATAGAAAAATATTAAATGACTCTAATCTCCTGTTGAACCAAAATTAGTTAGTGTTTTAATGCGCAGCAGAACATTTTCAATAAGAAAATAATGAATAAAGTAGTTGCAGGAGGCTTACTATGATCGACCTAAATTCCAATTTAGTTCTCAAGAACTGGTTAAGTTCCGCTATAATTTTGTACTATGATGACCTCCAAAACCAAAACCTAAACTGAGTCGATCGGATAGGGAAAGAACGGAATGAATGATAGTCATTGATTAGGTACTAGTTGATAAAAGTCTGCTATTGAATCATAGATATACATTTCTAAGTAATGACTTAATTTTTTAATTTTATTCTGCCCATGCATACAAGTCCTAAAGTAACACATATTTATTGCAAACCTCCAAAAATACATGAAACTTACATAAAAAAATAAAACAATTGTTCAGAAAACTTATAACTATAGTAGACCGCTTAACTGGGTCCTCGTCTGCGGGGTAAAGGTTGTGGGGGAGGACGAAAACGGGGACCGTGAGAGGTGCGGTTATTAACGGTATTAAACAATTTTATACCTACAATTTTTTTCAGCTGTATTTTCTATTTATTTAGGTACTTCAATAAAGATAACCCGAACGTGATGGCGGTATATTATGCATAGTCGAGTTGTTTCGCGTTTGCCAGCGGTATAGTTGTAAAAAAAACAGTTTAAAACTGAAACGCACCGTTTAAATCCCGAAAGCCACCGTTTTAAACGGTGTAAATCCCGACTAAGGAGACATAACACAGTTATATATTTAGAATTGTAAAGGCATAAAATAACGTACAATATTTTACAAGCTAGTTACTTGAATGGTTTTATTTGTTGAAATAAAATATTTACAAGTAAAAAAGAATATTACAACTTGTTATATTATTGGTAACTTTAAATAATTGTTCTCTTCGTACTTCATACGACAAAATATTTTGAATTCCCATTCAAATAAATAAATAAATAAAAATTGCTAAAAGGCTGTTAAAATTATACGAAAACTATGCTAAGGCATTTTATTTAAGCTAAAAAATATGCTTACAATTTTGGAGGTCAAATAAAACGTATTAGACCAATAAAGAAAAGAAAGAAAGAAAGAAAACTGTTTTTATTGTTGACAGCACATAACATACACATAAAATGCAAAAATATATTAAACATATAGTACCTAAAACGAAACGAACAAGTAAAATCAACAACAACAAAAAACAGGTACTGAAAAATTAATAATAATCAATATAAATAATAATATATATTTAATTAATATTAATAAATTAATAATACATGTAAAATTGACAACTGGGGCCTATTTAATAATTAAGACTGTTTTTACTACAGTAATTTACAATGGTAGTTTATTGTGGTTGAATTGTGTTTCATAAAGTATTTTTTTTACTACAGTATTTTGGATGGGGGCCAAAAACTTGTTATCTCGAGCTCTTCCGTGCTCCGGTAGGCACATTAAGCCGTTGGTACCGGCTGCATCTGCAGTCGTTAGCACTCACCAATCCGCACTGGGCCCGCGTAGTTAATAACATAAGTAGTTAATAACGCGGGAACATTAATAGGCTGGTGATGATGATAATGTGATGTAATAATCAATATTATTTTTTTTGTTTTTTTTTTAACTATATGCGTTTTGAGCGCTAATTCTAAAGTGAAAAGCAAAGCACTGTTCGAATCTCACCTGGGGTCGGGATTTTTTTCATTGTTTTTCACTTTTCACTTACAATAATTATTAGTAAAAAATCTAACAAACATGAAATTACACAGTTTTGTACTCCGTTGCATGGCGAATTCTATAATGTAATGCGTTTTTAGTTCATTCTTAAAAAACACTGTTTCTAACCATTAAAACCCTAAAACTCTACGGTTTTAAACCAAAATTTTGGTTTTAAACGGCATGGTATGATT